TGAAAACTATGAAAAGAAAAGATTGATGCTCTGGTGTAAAAAAAAATAAAAAATGAAAACCATCCATTTAATTATGCAGATTGCGAGAGTACGCAAACAGTGTGCTTTAAAGTTCCCTGATTACAACGATAGATCGCAAACATTTTTAATTACAAATCATCGTTATTATACACTCTCGTCGAAACGTACTCTTATCAGGAGATATACATTCCGACAGGAAGCCTTATTGAAGTTATACGACAAACTAAAATTCGATCAAAGTCAAAAAGAATATTCGATTTAACGGCCGTTGAACTAGACTGAAACATGAACACAGCTTTGTAGATTTTAGCATGTTTACGACGGCAAACAAGAATTGACGAGTGCGAACTTTCGGGAGATGGTTTTATAAGACGAGAGAGAGGAGGGGAGAGGGAGGAGGAAAGCGCGCGCGCGCATTTGTATGTGTGTAAACAGAAATGTAGCATACACTGAAATACGCCAGACGTAAACTTGCAACGCCACGAAGACAAGAACCATCCAAAATTCAGCGGGGAAACTCGCCGTTGGCTACGGTTAATTTATTTCGACTTACGCACACGCGCATTTCAACTTGTGCGGCATTGTAGATGCAGTAAGCATTGTTTCTACGAAACTGTTAAAATTTTGATAGTATTTCCATTATAAGCATATGCACGAATAAAAATAAATAATCACGCAGAATTTTACTTCGCTTCTCATTTCTCACCTCTCGTATTATAAAACAACTCGCAAACCCGGCAATTACATTTCGCTAATAGAGTTATCGATACCTGCACGCGCGAGTCTCCGTTGAAGCATTGTTCAATTATAATAGTACACGGCGACAAATTGTCGATATTGATTAATTGCACTTGCGTGAGGTTATTTCATACTATTTAATGTGCATAATAGATACGCTGTTATGCTGATGAAAAGCTATACTTAACGATGTTTATTTAGCGTTCCGCGATATGTATGACGTATACGTTTCACACGGCATGCGTGTTTGACGTATACGTGCTATATCTTAGCGCTGACCCGACGCAGCAGATTGTAAACGTAATCGAATAGGTATACAATCCGTCGAGCACGCGAGCTATTTCATCGCGGAAGAGTCGTAATATAAACTTTCGTGTCCGAAGACGATACTAGTATCACGTGTCAGATTCATTTAATTAGGAATAAATGTCTACGAAAGAGAGTGTTATCATAATTGCAAATAGAAACATTCAGATTTCTTTCTGTGATGGATAAAAATTAAATATATGAAATGATTTATCGTGTTCGATTAAAGGCAGGAAAAAAGAGCAACAATCCGTAAATTCGCTACCAATTTTTTCGTGTGCCAATAAAAACTCCTTTGATAATACACGATAAACGGAGTTTGATCAGTACTGTAAACGTTTAGACGTCGGACGATTGCTTTTCTATTTGATATTTCTGTTGCATATTTTGCTACTTCTGTTTGACATTTTATTTCAGAAAAAAAGAGATACTCTCGAATAAACCTGACATGTTGACATTCGTAAAAGAAGAACGTAGGCGAGATTCGCGTACTGCCGTTGCGAAAATATTCGCCTCGTGCGATAAACCAAAATCGTAGATTGACCTTATTAAGGTTTATATCCCGCCTGGACAACGGCCATGGTTTAAAGTGCATTATGCAATATGTTGAAACATAACGGACAAAGTTTCCGCCCGTATTCCATGTATGAGCCGCGTATTATCGGTTGAATAATTCAGTCCATTTCAATGTTTCACGGTGACATAAAAGGATGTAGTTATGGAAATGAGCGCGTTGAAATTTCACGGGAATCCGATTATTGCCTCGAATTCGACGGGGTACATGTCGTTACTTTATAGGTGACACTGAAAAATATTATACGCCATTCCGCATGTGCATTGTGTACTTTTGAGATTCCATCCGACGGAATTTTCGTGGCTCGTTAATTTAACCAATTAAGCTGCACCAAGAATTTTTCGGCCAAAAATTCGTGAAAAATTTGTCGTGCTATTTTATATCGTCGTGCGCGCTTATCCGTTCGTACAAATTTTATTTCATTTACCATCTCGATTTACTTATAAAATAATTTAATGTAATTATTCAAAAGTTTTCACGGTTTTTTTTCTTCTCTCGTTTACCGCATAAATATCCCGTTCAATTTTCTATCGATATCGCGCATCACGGCTCATAGGTTGTCGTTTGTTGTTAGCTTCTTACGTATTTTCACATAAAGACAGGAGTTGTGCGGCGGTCGGGAGTGGAAGTTAAACGCCATAAATCATTCCTTGACACATTTATGCCAGTCGCGTGCGACGGGTTTGCCACATTACACTCAACTTCCCAACTTATATAAATTTCATACCGACCAAGCCGCGTTTCGGAGTCTCTGCTGAGAAAGTGCCGAGTAATAATGCGACAGGGCATTTCCGGGTCAAAAGTTACTGTTCTATCTCAATGGCAAGTGTTTCTTCCAAACTCTCTTGTCTATTGTTTCGTAACAAATGTCATATTAGTTGTATTTTTATGCAAGGATTCAAGACATTTTATTGCACAATTAAAACTGCATTTTATTAGAGTTAAGATTATTATGAAACAAGTGTCAAACATAGTTGTTTGATTATTTAAATATTATTGTGTGTTATTGTACGTAGTAAAAAAGGTATTTTTTAACTGGTTAAGAGAATCGTTTCTCTCTGTGTAATATGATGTTTCACTGCGAATATGATTATGTAGGCACGTACATTCTATTAATTTTACGCATATCGAGTTACGCTTTGATGATATTTGAAACAATTATATCTTACCTATGAACGCACTCGTGGTGTAATTTATGGAAATGTAAAACAATTTACGATAGAAATCAAGCGCGATTTCCTCACAATTTTATTGAACATCATGTTCGACGATGAAATTACTTTCAGGACCGGCTAGCGGAATTCAATTTTACGCCGCGTTACTCGCGCGAATCTCTCGATTTTCAGTTTGCACACGGTAGATCGTGGAAATAAACAAAATTAATTGCAGTTTCCGGAGCAAAATTGCACGTGTTAATTTGTCAAACATATACGCGCGACATCCGCGCATTTTTGCGATCATTTATCGAAACTCGAGTTTTAGGCGAGATATAAAATCGCGATAGAAACATTCTTCGAAAAATCTCGCGCTATGGTCAAAGAAACGACCTGCGTAGCAAACTGCTGATGTTTTATGTATACGCAGACCTTAGCCGACGACGTGGATATAGCAGACACTGATTTCGTCATAAATATTTAATGAGCAATTCGTAACGAAGCTTCTCGTTATCTGACAGCATTCGCTTTTCTGTGGACGCGCCAATTAAGAAACATAAATAATGGAGGCGCCCATGGCGTCGCGCAGGGATTTACCTATGAACAAATTTGCAACTTTTCCACCATTTTACTGACTCCCGCGAGGCCCGGCTATATTTACCAATCAATTATTCAGATTTTTTTGTTACTCTCAGACACACCCGTAATAATTCGCTTCGATTGCGGGACAAATGAACGTTTTACAGATCGTTTAATCATTCGTTGCTTTTCATATTAATCATCGACGATTATCAATTATGATAATTATAAGGAAAATAAATCAGTTTAAAATTTCATCTCAATTTATGATGTCGCAAACATACGAATAAAATCGCAAAATATTGACATCTTTCACAAGATTACACCCATTAAACGTACATATCATACGGATGTATAAATGTAACACGTTTCATCAAACGTAATAATTAATTGGCATTCCACTTTCATTAGCTGCACGGCGCACGACAACGTTTCAAAACATATTCGACCGTGAATGGCCATTAATTTCGCGTTATTACTTCCGCAGTAAGTTTCTAGCGCAATTAAATGCGTGCGAGCGCCGTCAAGAAAGTTAATTTAAAAAATAATTCGTGCCCTTGCAGTAAACAGAGAAACCTTCCATTTCACTTTATCAAAGCTAAATCAATTTGCATTTAAATTAAACTCTCCGCAGGAGTTGATGTTCAAGTACAAACGACGGATAAAGCGAAAGAGAGCCACTTGATAATGGAAATCGCTCCTTGTAAGGCGCGATTCGTGTAAATACTTTACGACGTCCCGTTCCCTGTTTCTAAGCTCAGAATTGGTGCGATTTATTACGAGATGGCATCGGTGGATTGAGCGATTTTAGCGAGAATACATGAATTCCAGGGCTCTCTCTCTCTCTCTCTCTCTCTCTCTCTCTCTCTCTCTCTCTCTCTCTCTCGGATATCAACGCTGAATGGTATTTAAGAGTAAAATTCGATGTACAAGCGTTACTAGTTCATGTTCAAGTAACTCGAATGGCAGTGACTCGCGGTAGTAAGAAGCACTTAGCTAAGGACGTGTTCCTATTTCGTAATACCGTCGGAATTCTACCTACCCTTCTCTTGTCCGTCCTCGTCCGCCTCTCTCGATAGTACTACGCGCACTGACGGTAATTCGTACAGTGACGTTAAATCGACTTTACATCTACTCGCTATTCATTTGGAATACAATCGTTCTGCCGGTTTAAAAAGAGAAAGGAGATCGGTGATATTTTTTTAATGAAAATATAAATAAATATGTATTGAGTCAATCGCTCTTACGGAAATCTTGATTACACTTTATAAAAAGGATTATGTTGTAATTTATGAGCTTTTCAATATTTCCCTACACGAAAATGCTTTCCCTGCAATTCCGGCGTTGACAAGATGAACAAAAATAATCTTTTTAGAACTCTTGCGGGAAAATAATCTACTTTAAAAATCGTTCGTATTTGCGATGTTATTCGAAATATCAACGTATTGTGCAATTTTTATACGTACGAAACGGAAATTCTTTTGCCAAGACACTCGCAACGCTGAACGAAATTAATGGTAATTGCGGCGGTTGCTCGAGCGAGAAACTTATCGCTTTTAGCTTAACAAAGTCGCAACGCAAAAACTGGTCGCTAACAGAAATAAAATCATGTAAAATACTGTACTCACTGCATATGTAGAGTCGCGACCGACTTGTCCGAGAAGAGCACGACCGGTCGGTCGAAGCGTTGGTTACGACCGCAAACGCGGGCACTGCCCTCAAGCTGCAGCCAGCCGCCCTCGCACCTGCAACAAAAAGACGAGACACGTCAGGCCATTACCGAACATATAACGCGCGCACCCCTTAGCGCCATTCGCTAATTAGTTTTGGAAATTTTCGATCCGGCTGCGCGACATCGTAGCATTGTTACGTCGCACCAAGTGAGAATGTCGTGGAATTTCCATCATACCGCGACAAATTGGATTTTCTGTCGTGCAATTTTAAGGAAGATACATATTTTACTGTGAAATCGGGAAAGGATTTTCCGCTGCTACTACCGAGTCTGGAATATTCAAATCGAGAGCATCGTTTTTGTCAAGCTAGAAATAACTTTTCCGCAATTGTCTTGCATACATATTTTGAACCGCTTTCATTTATTATTATACCTGTAAGAGAATTATGCGGCAAATGCAAAAACCAAGTTAGCGAGTAATTATTGGTAAAAATGCGAATCCACAACTTAATAGAAAAAAAATATAGTAAGAACCAATGTGAATTCTTTTCATGTAAAATAAAATAAGGTCGCTCTCTTCTAATTATATATTAAAATTTTATTTTGCAGATCTCGGGAAACCGCGAAGAAAATTCCGCAGATTTTTAACACAGGAAAGGGAAATCTTTTCATTCTAAGGTCGTTTGCTTTACGAAGTGGCATCTGCGCTTAACTTTGGTATACGTGCTTCGAATTTGATTCTATCCTTCGTAATGTTAAGTCTTCTACCTACTGTTCTGGATCGAATTTTGGTAGGAATCATACTTTGAATTCAATATATACGAAGTTTAATATTATCTAATTTTCGTACGAGTTTCTATCTGTTTAAACTATGTAAAGTAAAATTAAATCTCCACTAAACTTTCCCTTCGCTAATTCTCTTTATCTGCAAATAGTTTAGATGCTTTTAATAATTAGGGAAAATGCTTGCTTCATGTTTTGAAGTTTTTGGAGAAATTTGCACATCAACTTTTAGACAATACTGACGACTATCAAGTGGTTGTCGCACATAGTTTTCGAAATACCAATTTAAATTTAATGTGGTGCAAGAGCGCTGCTAAATATATTCTTTCTCAATTCTGCTCGCTTGCGAAGTTGTTGCGCGAATTACGTCGCTAATTGTCTTTATCAAGGGTGGGACGCTTCCGATAATAACGTTTCGTAGGGTCGGCGCGCTACCCTATACGGCCGGAGAAAAACGATTGCCAGCGAGGGTCGCGCTGAAATTACTTCTTCGATTACAGACGACTTCAAAGGATTCGTTTTCCCGAGGCGTCGTAGACCGGGATTCTCGGGGCAGAGGCAAAATGAGAGAACATGCGCGACGGGCGAGCAAATGCGCGGAGGGATGCGGGCGGTTACGCAATGGGTAATACGCAACGGGGGAATCAAGCTGATTCAATCAGGCTTGCCGTCTCTCGCCTCGCCTTCGTAAGAGGGGAAAACGGGCGAAATGCGCCATAACACGCTCGGTTGATTATTATCCGTCAAGATTTCAGGAAATTTTCCCACCTTAGTGTAATCCTCTTCTGTGGAGAGAACAGATGGAATTTATCCATGAATTTAATATTACATAATATTATTAAAATATAATATATAATATTACAGTGAAAGTTATCGATAGGAAATGAAAGTAATAATTGCATTCTTGAAATAACATAAAAATATTGTCAAATTGAATTGGTATTTTATAATAATTTAACAATATTAAAAAATTTGCGATAAAAATTTAATCAATTTTGCTCTTTGTGCAATATAAATCTATGCAATATAAAAACCTAATATGAATGAAAATTATCGTGCAATATGTTCTTGCATATTCCGTCAGATAAGGCCATTTGAATATTGAAACAATCGGTTAAGCCTCTCTCGCGTTACCTCGATGCTGGAGCGTGGTTCGACGGGATTAATAGATACTCGTATTGAGGGCCCGAGGCGGTCTTGCTTAACATCAATAACGTTAATTAACATATCAACGAGACAATCGCAGAGACGCACATCCTATGCGGCAATACCTTCGGCCCCTCCTGGGAGCCGAATCCTTTATCTCTACACGAGCTCATTCAAATCTTGATATAATTCGCGCAACGTGCGGACGCACCGCGCGCTATTGTTGCGTGAAGAGACGGATATGTGCCGCCATAGCTCACCATTGTGTCGAGCGTACGCTTATGAATTAATTGCTTGCGGGCTTCGACGGGTCGCGGATCCGATCGTCGTGCAATCCTCTTCGATCTCTATTGCAGCCCGGAACGACATACATCTCTCTGTAATCCGGCCGGATAAAATTTCTGATCCGAGTTACGGCACCGTTAACATCACGCAGAGAATGCGTGTTTGCGATCGCATGTTTGTAATACCTTCTATAAACTGCAACAGCGCAACAACTTTTACGATAACAATTTCGATATTTGTCACGAATGTACTTTGATCACACATTATGTGTTGCGAAATACGTTTTATTAAAAAAGTCAACGCGGTAAAATAATTCTAGGTTCGTGACATTTGACTATAAAAATATTTAAGATTTCATTTTTTTACATAAAAGCTTTATGTACTTTGACATTGTTATTATTTTTTCATCTCTTCATTAACGTAGCATATTCAAAGAACTTCGCTGAATGCTTGCTTTAAAATGTATCGACTTTTTCGATAAACAGTGCAGCGACAATCGAATCGTATATCAAGTCGAATAACCGCTAGATATAAAGTCCCCTCCAAACTTGAAACATTCAGTGCTCTTTATGCGAGACGTCTGTTCGAGTTGGGAAAGTTTAGAAAGTGTCTAGGTATGACAGCGTAATGTTCTGGAAGAAAACAAGGAAGAGGATCGGGTAAGCCGATAAGTAGTGTGGAGAGTAGCGGAGAGAACAATGAAAAGCGCGAGTGGCTAGCGTGGAAGTGGTATCAACAAGACGTCATAAATAATTGAAGCGTCAGGCGGCTTGAGAAGATGGGACGTCGTTACTCCCAGTCTGTCTTTTTCCGACCCGGAATGTTCATTTTTGATGCGGCTTACGTGAGTCCTTCAGCTCCTTTTCGCCATTCGCTCAAAACTTTAAATCGCGCCGGAGACACGTATCCACTATGCGACTCGATAAGAAGCTCGCTCTTCACTCATTAGAGATGCAGCGCGGAGAGACAAGGGCGAGGCGCAGGAGGATAAAGGATGTCGAGGATCGTTACAACCGCAAAAGATGCGAAGAACTATGAAGGGAGAGTGAAGGAACGGGAAATATCCGGTGAATAGCGGTATTGTCAATTATGCGATGCAAATAAGCGAACGTCACGCTGCATCAGCAATCTAGCGGAGAGTTTGCGCCTTGCATTCAGGTCCGTAGCTGTTATCTTTATCATCCGAGATGTACAGTGTCTCGCCGACATTGCTGCGAGTTGTCTTGGTATGCAGTGCGACTTGAAGAAGAATAAACATGATTATACTTGTAGCGGTTGCCTTCATCGTCGTCGGAATTCTCAATGACTATTTCTCTAGATAAGTAGCGTATATTTATAATTTTCTAAAGCGCAATTCATATCTGCCCGCCTCGATAATTTCAATTTAACTGTTATTTGATAATGGCATAATTATTTTATTCTCGAGCCTGTTTTAAGTAAAAGTTTTTGCAGCGTTACTACGGAAATATAGCGAAGCCGAAGAAAGCGGGAACAAATAATCGCGAGAAGCCGGAGACAAAGGCAGAGAGATGAGGAAGACGTATCGCAGGGGTTTCATTGTTGCTGGCAGCACGATATAAATAATTGAAATGCCAGGTTGCGTCAGAAAGGCGGAAGTCGCCGCTCTTCGGCACCGCCGCGCTCCTTGCGCCCGTTCAGCGACGGCTAGTTCAACGGTATCCCCTCGATTCGCCACCCCTGCCGGGCGTTTCACGTTTCACCGACTGCATTTGGCGTCTCGTGTCCGGCCGTGAAAAGCACGAACCGACCCTTCGTGCTCTTTCTTCTCGGATGCCGCGGCGGGGAGAGCGGGAGAGGAAGTCCGCCGGAGAGATCCGACGGACGATTCGCAGGAAATTGGATGCTTTTATTTCGCGCGATTTTCCTTCATGCAACGGAGTAACCCCCCTCTCTCTCCTTCTCTTTTACTCGCCTTCTATCTTTCTCATTCTCCTTCAATCCGTAACTCGACTCTCTCATCCACGCGATGAACTGAGCCCGTGACCGAGAGATCGAAACGATTTCTCAAGGACCGGCATTCGTCCCGGTTTTTCGGCGGGGGTTTCGGCGATTCGAATGTTACCTCTTACAGCGTACAAAGAAGAACCGGACTTCTCCTTGCAGAAGCAATTTTCTTCCAGACAAAAAAAAAAGAGTAGATTTTACAATGATTGATAAAATCAATTTTCGGAATAAAAATCGCGACCCGCCGTTAAAAGCCGTGAATTATGTTTCGAAACTTAATAGATAGATATACAGACGAGAAGTGAACAATCAGGCGATGAGCCTTTATATCGAACATGTAGCTCCGTTGTTTCATATTCCCTTTTGCGATAGTCTGGTGATGATAGCACGCGAGTCCCGTCGCACGCCCCTTCGATGAATCACGAGCGCGGGACACGCGATACGGAAGTTCTCTCAGCGAAGTCCCTCGTCTTTCTTCCCGTTAATAGGAATTATCTTATGGTCGGGTATATACGGAAGTAGTGTCTCGTTGAATTATACAGGAGCAGCGAGATTTCTCGGGGCGCGCAGGGTTTTGCGGACTACACCTACAGGGAATATCGTCACTGCACCGAGAGGGGAGTTGCGAAACACTCGACTGCAATTTAGGACGGCCTTGTCTCCCTTATAATCGCGCCGGCTCACCGGGGTATAAAACGGAAACTCGTGGACCGCGCTTCTTGGCAGTGTAATGCGAAACAGACAGACCTCGCGCCGCACGGAAACTTCGAAGTCACGGTTGTGGCTACAATGGCGGTGATGTATAGCGGAGCCCGAATGTATGCATATATTCGATCAGCTAATGGAATTTTCGAAGCGGTTTTATTCATCCGACAATAAATTAATCACGAAACA